TATCAATCAGAATCAAGCATTTCTCAAATGAATTATTTATTAGCATATGAATTATACGTTACCCAGCCCAGTCATTGTTATATTAGCGTAACATCGGCGTTAGTGTAGACACACACATACATGTCATGAACACATACGCACATGTTAGTGGTAAAAACAAAGTACGAACTATTTCACACAGCAACACCGCCGATTTTGAAAGTCTGCTATAAGGAGTGTAGTTTGATTTGAACTGTTTCACGGTTATGCACTCCAACCTCACGAGTTTACTGATAACGGATCGTGTTTTCTTCCCATGTAGTGAACTAAATGTAACCGGTCAGTAATGGTTTGGAACCTACACATACAGTCTGGAACCGTCAACTCATATAAATCAATTATGTTGTGTTCAAACGTTAAACACCGCCCTCAACAAATTAAAGGCAGAACTTAAAACATATTGCCTTCGCATACAGCAATATAACAAACGTATAAATATGACATACTAAATTAAGGTAGAGATGCAGTTTACCTGACAGGTATTTTAATTAGTTAATTAGGAAACCAAGATGTCCTCCCTTGTCCACAAAACTATATATTATCGGAAAGCTTATTGTATGAATTTTAAAATTTTGTTAGTATTTTTTTATGGACACTGTAGTTTGAAATATGCACAAAAATAGGCTTTTTGGTCAAAAGTGATTTAACAAAATTAGCTTCGAAACCATGCATCTGTTTCCTGTCAAAATTGGTTTATGGGTACATCTGTTTACTGTGAAGAAAGTGCCGTCTTGAAAACTGTCTACCAATTGTCAAGTTTGCAGGGCAGCAGTTCAAATTTCACTACTTCAAGTTTATGCATAAATTAACACCCAGGCTAGTTGTCTGTACGATTGTTGTAACACTGTTCAACCAGAAACAATGCCCGACGGCGTTTTGAATATAAACACATTGTCAATCATTTTTGAAATTTCAAAACAAAAGGGCAAAGCGTATTTTTTTTTTAAAGATCTGGGATGTGCACTAAAAAGAAGATGAGATAATTGCTATTTTGCATAACCATTAACTCAGTAAGAAGTTTCCTAATGCTCATAATTAAAATTGCTGTAACAGTTCTATTGTATTATTGTTTTGTTAAAAGTTAAATATAGTGCGTAGTATGGAGATCCCGACATTTCGTTTTTTCAACATGTTTCTTTTTTATTATTTATGTGCAGCCTTGCTAAGCATTCAAAAGAGAGAATGTTTGCACCTGTTATCTATATTTTAAAATCGTTTTTTGAGTATATTCCACTATTCACAATTCTACAAAATTGTAACAGACTGTTTGGATAATAAAGAGCAAAAACAAATCACTTCCAAGTGCCCACGAACCTGCAAATCTACCTTAATTATAATTAATAGTAATTCACCTAAAAATAATATAATACTAAAATACTATAATGTAAATCACGGTCTATTGTTATAAAAACATCTCACAGGGATTTATCAATTTATATGAACACCTTTGTATATTTGAAAGACACTTTTGGCGCACTAAATAAATGTCTTTGTATAGAGACGCCAGTAACAGTTATTCCTTCCGCTTTAGAATAGAAAAGACCATATCAACTACTCATATTTCTTTCAATTCCCGGTAGTACAATGATTGGAACTTCAAAGTTTGGATATACATTACATGTAAGATAGGACGTAATGAACTGTCATTCATATGTAAGTTGCCACGTGTTTAATTAACTGCTGACACATCATACGTAATTTGCCAATTAGTGTCTTTTTGTTATATGTCCAGGGCGTGTCGTCTCAATTACAAATTCAAGAGATACACAGTGACTGTCCCTGAATGAAAGATGAATCATTCAAGTAGTGTGTGCACAATTGAAGGTGAACGACAGTTAGAACAATGACAATAATTACTCAACGTCTGCAGAAAAAAGACACAACACTAACCCAACTCAAACCTTCTACTATGGTGAAACACTAGCAATGTTAGATATGCTGTTTTACTTTCATCCAAGCGCAGCCTGAAATCTGAACGTCTACAGAAGCAAACAAAGAACACGCAGGTTTCGAATAATATGGTAATAATGTTTCCACTTCATTTTGGTTCATGACAAATTGAATCGCATACTAATTAATCATAAATAATAACATAATTTTACCGCGTTCGAACGGCTGCTATGAAATCTAGAAATAGTGTATTTTGCAAGACCCGCCATATCTACTACATACTCTAATTACAGTTAGAATGAGTGTACACAATTTCATTGTATGAATATTCTGTACAGTCTCAGCTGAAATTTACTCTCCGAGTGGTCACGTTAAACCTGAATGTGCAGTAATGAATCTCATTCAATGAACACTTTACATACCTGATTGCTGATCGCCAATAGCTCATTTTTTTAAAACGTATATTCACTGTTGACGCGTGAATGAAAGGAACACCTAATTACCAACATTGTCAGCAAACTTGTTTTCACAGCTGGAGAATTAACCCTCTTGGCATGATGTACCAGAAACAGAAATAATGCAGTAAAAGATTGTCCTGCCATTAATATGTGTCAGGAATGATTTGCTTTCGACTGTTATGACATCGATTGTCAAGGTGACCAAAAGTAGGATTAAGATGTCATTATAAAAGTTCGGTATATGAACTATACATCGGGAACTGTTATGGTTATAGTGTAACTATATTTACTGTTTTGTTTAGACAATGTTAATGACAGTTGAGGATAATATCATTGTCACGGTTGGTTCCAAGATATCAGGTAAAATAGAAATGTAGAAATAACATACCAAACCATATAACATAATTATAGTCCAAAAACACACAGAAAATGAAAAACGGTTTGGTGGATTTTGAGCTCACCGAGCCGATTCTGAATGAGTTGTTACTGTACCAGTATGTAGCATAATGTTAGCTCCATATAGGTGCCGTGATTATCTGAATTTGAATATCATAGTAGAATGGAAGTGTTTAACGGGTTATAGTATATGTATGATTATACATTCTGATCTCCCACGTATTTTGGGTATTGGCAGCCATGTATTATGCTAGTATCATCGGTTCTCTGTGATGCACTGAATACTAGGAGCACAGCAATAAATAAGTGAGGCGCATTTGGCTCGATATTCCTTCAAGAGTGCCTTCACAATAACAATTAAGGTATGGTAAAATACATGTATATAAGAGCTTCTGCTTTATTCCCATATATATAAATGCGGTTTAAGTAGACTCGCCACTCTAAAAAAATATGTTTGCATTGTTTATATGTAGACAGTGTTACAGTTTCGAATATCAGCCAGAAATATGCTCAAACGTTCTACTTACGACTGATGGTATCTGATGCTCATCAAAATTATGCAGTGCAAGGTGGTCGTTTTGTGGATAATATATTTGACTACAAATATATTCCTGCCTTAAATGTCACTTTTATGCCATGACCATATGGTGTAATTACTACGATACCGAAGTCCTAAGCAGTTCCCCGAATATTTACAAGAGTCGGTCTCCCACAGTAATTTTGTCAAGCTAAATTGTTAGCTCTCCTAAATTTACAAAGTGTCAAGTACTCAGTTCCATTATTAGCAATTGCAGTCATGGGATGATATGTGAATACAGAAGAATATTCAGATTCAGCCTCTCATCTATAATGTAGCAATGCCTGACATCAGTCGACTTTAATTTAATACTGATCATATCACTGATACATATACAGCCGACTGAGCTTTCAATACTATTACAGGGGACGTTATAAGATGATTTCTTGCCATTTACACAAGTAAGCCGATATGGGGCTGCATCATGCTGTCGACCCAGCTCAGAAAATATAGAGTCATTGTAAGTAAGTGTGACCGAAGAAATAGCTCTCAGATCGAGTTTATTATGTCCCGCAGCATAAATACGTCGATATTGTTTTTATTCGTTATCAACCCAGTACATTGACATCAAGAACGTTATCCTGCTCATAACTAATAGAGGTCATTACAACTATAAAGAGGATTATGTTGTTGGATGTCATGTTGTTCTGTAATGAATACTGGTATATTGTACTATGATATATTGTGTTTGGTGCAATGTACATATATTATGATGTTTGCATGTTTATGCATGGATGTGATGGACTGTACAACAGAAGTGCGAACAGATGTCACACGATATTTTGTCACATAATAATTCACATGGCTATAGTTACAATCTACGGGTCTCAGTGTCACGTGGCAGTGTTTTTTTTCCATACAGTCAGCCATGTTGTTCATCCTAAATTTGGGGTTAGCCGAATTGTAATCTATAACTAGTCCTCGGTATATTCGTCTATCACACAGTGGAGTGTAGGTAAATGTCTAATTTTAAGTACCGTGAAATGAGTATTCGTGTGCATCATGAAACTCCTCCAAACGAACGTAGGGTAGTTTACTTGATTCTTGAAACAGGCTTATCAAATATAACAAGGAGTCAGATTGAGCAATCGATAGTTTGTATGACGTTTCTGTTATTATTATTATTATTATTATTATTATTATTTATTTATTTATTTCAAGCTGTGTCTACCCTAAGCATAACATATAAGGTTATACATCTGCAAAAATTATCTGGTGAATAACTTCCGTGCCATAACTACGTATACCAGTATATATATATTATCCTACCGATCACAATATATCTTAGTGTGTCATAGTTTATTTGTATACAACCATTTATGGTCAACATTCAAAGTCGCCATCTTTGTTTATATTAGACACATATATATCGTGCATGCGTGACGCGACGACTAGCGCCCTTTAAGTCGCCCCGGAAACGCGCAACTGCTTTCTATTTCCCAGTTGTATTCAAGCTACAAGAACATATTAGTTTCCAAACGGGTGGACTACGTTAAATATTAAAACATATCAAGACGAAAAATAAACTCAATGAACCAATTTTCAGCATATGTGTGCAACTTCACGGGAGCCTTGATAAACAAATTGTCACATGTCTAATCTAGATCACAAATGTATCTCACTTCTAATTACATTCCTTTTTAGTTGTAAATGTCCTGTGATTGTTTGTACCAGGGCGGTATGGAACTGTCGGGAGTTAATTTGCGCCTCGATCCATAATAAATGTACCTAGCAACTTCTCCAGCAGCGTTGTCCATAGTTTTAATATTCTCTGGATTGGGAAATTCCTGCTGGTTTCTGGTAACTCCCCAGTGGTCGAAATGAATGGCATACCGAGGCAGAGACCAGTCCATCGGGTTAACATACAGATCATCGTACACCTGAAAGCCATCCATTTTCTTACAGAATTTGAACAGTTCGACGTGCAAAAGTTCCTGGTTCTTGAATGCCAGTTCGTTTTGGCCGTATATCGGGGTACAGGCGTAACATTCCATGTCGAAATCCCGGTACGACTCGTGAAAAAGTCGCAAGAACTTTGAATCTTTTGCGGTGAATATGATTCCAGCGCTCAGCCTGGCTGGCCCCGCCCTGTTCGTTGTATAATCGTAGTACCGCAAGTGATCCGTCGACTTGAATACCCAGATATCTAAATCGAGATAAATTCCACCATATTGAGTTAGGACCTCGAGTCGTAAAATGTCGGACTTGTGATTCCCCATCAAGATGGTCTTTCCAAATATTGTCTTCGGCGTTTCGTGGTTTACAACTTCCAAAATGGGTATCATTTTGGCTTCGTCCCACCATTCACCCGTCGGCTCCGGGTCGCAGTCGGTGTGAAAAAGCATCCGCATAGGTTGCATTTTTCTGTAGACACCGAGCAAGCCAATCAGATGGTAGAACTGGAAATCGGGGCAGTCCACCCATGTAAAATGCACAATATTTGGCACAATTTGATAATTACGTGGTTGCAGCTTACCGAGGAACCAATCAAACGAGTTCAGATTGATGTGGTCGGTGAAATTCCAACTAGTAACGTTGACTAAATTTAACTTTTCCCGCCAGTTTCGTCGTAATCGTGCCTTCTTTGGCTTCTTTAAGTCGCGTTTCTTTATCGCGGTTGTTACATTGGGTGAGACCGGTTCTTCAACAAGCTCCTCTGATACCTGATGCAGTGTAGGCCTTTTTGCGTGAAATGCGTTTTGGGTAAAACTGTCCGAATCCTGCGGTCTCTCGTTCCTATGGCCGGGACGACGGAACTCGCTATCTCGTTGTAGCGACAAATTAACGATATTTTGACTTTGGCGTTTGTATACTGCTATTAATACAATCATGGCCATGGTCAATCCCGTCGAAAGTCTCAATGTTTTTCTAATTAGCCGCCAATACATGATTTTCTCTGGAAAGATGTATTATCGGTTTATAAACTGAAACGAACAAAGAAATATGTTAATATTTGTCTAAATGAATTAATATATGTGTATTATTAATTTCTCACTACAGAGTCATTAATACTACAGCAACAATATTATGTTACAACCGGATTTGTCTTGCCCGAATTGGCACGTAGCATGTCGCTTCTCCTTGTTTAAGAGAACGTATCTATATTTTTAACTGGTTGGACATGTTGATCGAAACATACAACAGGATGATTTGAATTATACGGAAAACCGTTCACATACAAAATAATATGTTATCTTTGCTGTTTGGTACACGCATGCAGTGACCTCGATTACACATGGAAGGTTTTAATCTCACCCAATTAATTGAAAAAAAAGAATTCGACCACGGAATGTGCTTAAATAATATGTCCAGAATTCTACTATATTCATTTGAAATATGTTTTGTTATATTGATACTACATAGTACGTTATACGGTTTAACAGTCAGATGAAGATTGAGATACCGACAGAAACACAAAAAACACCGGTGATTATATTGTTGAAAAACCCTTACCTCCAAGCAGTGGTGCGCGGTGCGCTTCATATCAGAGTGTGACCAGCACGATACAGAAAGGTCAGTCGTCACACGTATACATCAGAATTACAATCAGAGTGTCACGATTGTCGTTCGTAGTTCAGTGTTAACAACAAAGACCAGGTCATCATAACAAACAAACAAGCGATGCGACAAAATGGTGACAATCGTGCCGGCTGTGATATACACTGATTTTATCATCCGGATTACTCGTATGACATGTGTTACTTTATTAAAAACGCATTATTGTTGAATAGGGAAACCATTATACCGATCATTGAGTATTTCTGAATATACAATTCTGTTAACGAATTGATTAAAATAATAATTTTCAGGCAAACAAGCACACGTATATTACAACTCGAAATTCTAACACACGATCACGAAAAGCGTCCCAACACTGCATGCAGGCGCGTTATCATAACTCATATTTTTTATGTTTGGCGATGATTCACGTGGGCTATCCCATATCATTTGTAGTATTGCAACTATGTGATGCGTTATAACGTTATTTTAACTATTGAGAAGCATGTATGGACAACAAAAGGAAACGTGCCAAAGATAGTGTATATCTACTTATACGGAGAAAATATATGTAAACATTTACGATTTTAACATTTTTTTTTCAAATGATATTACTATTTTTATTATATTATTTTTTGAACTTAAATTTCTTTAATTTGGTTTCACTAAATTTGTGATTAGGGTAGTTTACATATACTCCTTTATCAGTTAATTCCAATCATATTGCAAACAGATACATACCTTGCATTTGCGTCACTAAGGTCATTATTATATGTTTGTTAGTCCATGCATATATTATATATGTGAAAGATTTATTCACAAACGACGATTTCATAAGTTCGGAATTATCTGCTAAGTAAACTGAACTCATATAGATTGTATTCCACCGCGTTCGCCAAGTATCGCCCAAACATATCGTGAAATACCAAACCATGAAATGAATTATCTCCAGGTTTATAGAAACTGCTTTGATTAAGCTGTGGTGTTTATAGCGTGGCGTTTACAATAATGCTTTCATAAATTGTGGTGTTTACAATGCCCTTTGGTATTGTAATTGGTAAGTGTAATGTTTACAGGGTTTGTATGAACTATGACGTGTATGAGGACCGATCTTTCGGGAAAACGTAAGCATTCTGAATAGGTAAATATATAACGGTTGTATTCACTACATATAGATACAGCAACAAGTGTAGAATTTAACAAATTAATGACCGAGACTATTGTGAGAAACATCGTCTCTTCTGAAAGTCATATAAATTATCGAGTTTTTGTCTGAAATAAAAGACATTTAACAGTACCACATATTCAACCAATAAGTGACGCCGTTGTTAACTCATCAGCCAATTTATAGTGTACCTTTGTTCATTTCACAAACTGCTCAGTATCACTTACATTGCACATATTGGTGATCAAAGAAATGCATTATGTTCGCTAGGCGTTGATTTAGATATAAAAACGTGCCTAGCATGTTAACAAATATGTAAGCCTGCGGCTGAGATGTACCTATTCAGTTCTGTGATCTGATTCGATAAGTCCGATGTTACACCCAGGCTCAGTTATACTTATATTATCGGTAGGTTACATTTATATCAAACACATGATGTTTTTTTTCAATATTATAAGTTCGTAGTGTGGCGAGTAGGAAGTTGTTGCGGAGATCCAGCACATAATACTACTACTTTGTCGTTTACGATACACTCCCGCTGAATAGGTAACACCTCCTAGAGAGTAATGCACAAAGAACCATACACACGTTCAACCGATCAATTATTGCTGCCCTCTGGTGCGACCCCGTGCTTGACAGAGATTATTCACAACTCATACGTAAAAGCTGACATACTTTCCCCTGGATTTTGCATGAATCTTTCTGCCCTGTCAACGACACGTAATGTTGTTCGATTACATCGACCACAAAAGCGTATTCTGTGTTAATTTTGTTATGAACACTCGATGTTTATTTATTTACAGGCATGCGCAATTAAGACCTGGCGGTTAAAGTATGTTATTTTGCATACATAAGCGATCAGTTAGGCATGAATAAATTCCATGCACTATCAGGAAGCGTCCCTATGTTATAGCAGCATAGTACAGCTGCTACCGGGCTGGTAATATCACTTCAAATATCCTGCTGTTGATCCTATGCATTTTTACAACATACATGTACAGCGCAATATAGTAAATCGCACGAGTCGCGTGACAACACGCACATATATTCTCGCTCGCCAGACTATTTTTTCCCAATACACTCCAAACATACTTTGATAAATATGCCAAAATTCTTATACATGTATTTCAGTATAAGAATTTGATCAATCACTGCTCATTTTGAAAACGAGGGCACTGATCGCATGCTTGATTGGATCGCTTTAATTAAGGAGACACGCTGATTGGTGCATTTGCATTCCACTAAATACCGCTACAACGTGGACGTATTTTATAACGGCTTTTTCGTGGTGACTACCAGTTGCCGCAAAGAGGCCGGATCGATGGGAACACGGTGACTAACATACATAGTCACGAAAGCAATCTAATAACAAGTGTTTTGCTTTTAAGATTATGCAATAAAATTATATATCCTTTTAAGTATCGTTACATATAAGGGTGTATACATCTTTGATGAATTACAAAAAATAATTTTGCCATGGCTTCAAAATTAATCTGACTGAGGAACATATAATGAGAGAGATGGCTGTAACACGTATGCCTACTATATTGCGCACGCGCATGGCACATGCACATGTCACATAACAAAAAATATTTACACGCAGTACGGACGATGATGGTAACCATGACAACAATAAATTCATCACGCAATAAATTCAATCGACTGTTTATACTATGCCCATATTCAAATAGGTGGGCACGATTTGTACACATGTACATTGCATTCCCTCTGGCGTCCATTTCGAAACAATTATTGTCATATTAGGCAAGCTGTGGCGGTATAGCTTTATTTAATGAAAGATCGCATGTACGCCAGTGGCTACGATAGTTCTCCGTCGTTTGAGTTTAAAAGTGATCGCCGAAATGGGAAGAGTATTACAAGTCAATATAATATTACAGAATGAATATTTAATGAATACAGTACAGAACAGTTTCACTTCCTGGTAACATCAATGCATTATATCAGACGTTTACAGCGGAAGATATTGCTTCCACAACTGTTCAACTAATAATGAACGGTCCCGTTGTCAGTGGGACTTCCTGTCATCAATTGCCACTGAGGGGGGGGGGTAATATGGATACATTGTAATGATATAATTATTTGCGATGTGTCAGTCATATATATTTACAGCCGCGATCCGAGTCTGGGTTATAACTCATCGTAAACTATAATTATGGAATTATCAATCACCCCTGACAACGAAACAAGCACAACATTTTAATGATAAGTGTTAATCATCGAACGATCCGCCGGCACTGATTATATAAAGTAACAGTTATCAAAATGCTATATTATTTACGAATCGGTTACATTTAAATACTGATTAAGTACGGCAACAATTCTATATCCGTATACATATGCGTACATCCAAGGGGACGACAGCTGCCTGTGATAACTGTATGTTATAATGTAGTGTGTCCGGGAGTGGAATGTCACACGTACGTCACAATAACGGTATTGTTGAACTGAACTGAACTGAACTACAATACAACGTGCACAACACAGTGACAACACACGACAGATGGTTATTATGCGATGACTTAATTGTTATTTATAGATACACTGGTAAAACAGAATTGCAACATTGCAGAAGACGACAAAGTGTGACGATGCTACTGTGTTCTTTTGTCCGGTCGAGGTTTCTTTTGTTGTTGTTTCGTTAACGGGTAAGATTTCGACAGTTTTACTCTGGATACCTCGTGTGCTCTGAGCCTGACATTTGATATCCAAATAGTAGTCACTGTAAGTGATGTTATGGATGGTTAACTGATTGTCAGCGTTCAATAAAAAGCGCTGAAGGTCAGGAAGTGTTGATGTATCGTTGAACAGCCATTGAATTTCGGTTACCGCCGGGTTTCCTCTCGCGCTACAGTTGAAGATCGCTGTCTCCCCGATAACCCTTCCCACAGTGTTCGGTTCCAATGTAATATCAGGCCCGTAACGAACGCGAAGTGGGCCCACGCTACAGCTTTTAGGATTTGCTTCTGGGTGAGTCTGAGTACACGTCAAGGTAGCTTGGTGGTCGATCCCCGACAGTATCCATGCATACCTGTTCTGTGTCAATTTGGTGACATTATTTGTCGTGAATTCTTGATTTCCAACGATATCCACGCCGTTTCGGCTCCAAACCAAATCTGGATTCGGTGATCCTCTCTTCGACTGACAAGTAATGGACACCGAAGCGCCAGCTTCATTGGATCTACTGTCAGTTGGGTCACGTATATTTGCCGGCCAGCATTCTGGGTATTTGGCATCAGGTGGGGTCGCAAATGTAATACCGGCAATAATACTGCCAATTAAAACGATGACAAACCTCATTTTCTTGTGTCACATACACTGCACAATACGTGGGAAGAACCGAGGGCCCGGTAAAGCACCAAGGTAGTATGGTATACACTTCTCCGCGTATATCCTGGACTGTCGCGCGGTGGCGACCACGGGCCTTGTTCAATCAAAGGCAAAGTTGCGTCCACGATACTACACACAGTTTCAGTAGCAGAGATATTCCGCTATATATGGAGTCGCATAAAATAAACCATGTAGCTACAAATACCGATAGGTAATGCAGGGGCGAGGCCCTGGCATGAATCACATTAAGGTGACTTAACAAATTTACATAATAAAAGCGTGACCTCGCCAGTCGGTCTTTTCATTATGAACCAAGTGCAGCGAGTAAACACAGTGAAAGTAATTCCATTATGTTTGGCCACTGAATGACGTTGCAAAGAGCAACCCAGACTTATCTGAAAGGCACATCCTATGCTTTTATATGGGGCCTTTGCATTTGCTCTTCAAATGAAACCGTCTAAACCGGACACTTAATGTTTTTGAGAATATTGTTCGAATTACAAAGGCGACCACTTCATGTTTATCTTTCATACAAATTAATAGATTTTTTTTTCGGCGTAGCCCTTCAGGTTTTCGTTCACATTGTTAGTTTTATTGTTAAGGTCTTATTATAATAACCTATTTTCGATTTGTAATAAATTGGTTTATGGAGTGGAGTGTATTGCGAAATGAGATTTATGTTTCTGGCAGAGGTGAAAGTTGAAAGGACAATTTCGAAGTTACTTGGGTCGAACCAAAAGTAAAGTCTACTGGCCCCAATTTATGTCAAATGACATGAATATGTATATGCAAATTATTGTAAAAACAAACATCAGCTAAATTCAACTACATTGTATAGTGTCAAGTGTTTGAATAATTGCACAATACAGTCGAAACCACTATAAGTTCATTTATGTTAATAGCACATTTGTAGTACCTTACTTTTATTCTATTTTTTTCATTGTTAATAAATTGACTTCCAACCAATATATAACATCGGATGCAGTGTTTAAGCTTTTATAAAAAATTATAACAGTTTTATTGTTACCTAACATTTCATCTGATTCTTCTAAAAGAATAAAAGAATGCTGTATAACTTTTACATGATTCATGCATATCTTTGTACATATCCCTTCCCATAAAATGTACGCTAATTTGTTGTCTTATTCGTCCACGCGTGCTCCATCTCTGCATTTTTTTCAGGTGTATTTTTTTATCGATAATGTTAATGACATATACTATATGTATATATCTATAGTTGGTATATGTCTGCACATGTGTAATATTAACCGTACGCGTGTGAGCTAAGTAACTGTCAGTGCTGTTTATTTTATAGTATATTTATGATTTTTTTGGATAGTGGGGATTTCTAAAATTAGCCAATAACTATATTTGATTGTGTATTGTCAATTTAATTTAACATATTTATGTCAATTTGGTGACCATGCTGCTTGTAACTTCATGATTTCCTACGAAATCCACGCCGTTTCGGCTCCAGACCAAATCGGAAATGGGTGACCCTATCTTCTACTCAGACAAGTAATAGTAGATACCGACGCGCCAGTTTCATTTGGTCTACTGTCAGTTGGGTCACTTGGCGACTGAACTAACAACACAGCCATAGTATACCTTATCCAAGTTTACGTAGGAAAGTTCAGCTTAGACAGTTTAAACACGGCGATTTGTCAGAGATGTGACCCGTGCAATACTGCGGTGTTTGTGGAGCGCGTAACAACCTAGCTGGTTGCAGATTGATATGTCGACAGTGTTACGCGCGCGTTTATTCCGTCATGATCGCGTACCTGTCATTTATCCAATGCCTGGCCCCATGTACCCGAGAACTTGTTTATTTCACACACGACCGATTTGTGAATGAGTTGTAGTAACTGTATATCAAAACAAATAATGTACTTTCGCGAAAATTTGAGTGCGGGATTTATGTAACCGATGATGAATATAGTACAGAATGATGTATTTTGACCAATAGATTCAACCACAGTCCCTCGGGATAGAGGGACTGTGATTCAACGTGGGACCACTCTTATTAGTAACCGTGTTAGACCCCAGGGCGTGGTAGCTTAGCATGACATGAGTCATAGTCGGAATGAGTTACTGCGCCCTCACCGATGGCTTCACTCAGACGCAAAACACAAAATTATTCTTCTATTGCAAAATAAAAATGGAGATGTAGCCTTTAGTAAGAACAACTACCGGCATACAGCCTTTACAACAGTAATACCGAAACTTTCATTTCTTTTTGTTTCTCAAGAAATGTGAATTATACCTCGTGACTACCAGTAATAAATTACGGATTTATGTATTAATCGACATTATAACTCTCTTGGATGTAATGTATTTGTGTGTTTTCCAGATGAATCAAAGGCTTTCGACAGAGTTTTGGGATCCAGAGTTTCATGCAATGTTACACGGGGAAGTTCTATTTAGTAAACATTTGCTATTTCTATTGTTGTGCAGTAACTATTGAACTCACATGTGGATAATATTATACTATGCAACAGGTCATGACCTCAGCTTTGCTGTGAACAGGTGCCAAGACAAATTCAAATTCGAAGGACATAACTTCAAATATACATAACATAACTTTAGACTTGCAGGTCGTAACTTTCAGTTAAATTCACAAAAATAACTATAAAATTGGAATAAGAAACTTAAAATTCACGGGTCAAAAGATTTGAAATTCACGGGACAAAACTTTCCATCCGCAGGAAATAATTTTAAGTTCCCCCTTGGCGGAAGTCATGATAAGCATATTATTAATAAATTTGCACTTGTTTATGAAAAGTACAAGAGGCAGGTTGAGTTGTCAAAAATGAAAACTTCTTTCCTCGAAACACTGTATATCAATTAAAAGCAGTATCACCGCTGAAACTAATTCAATGGTATGGACTATACTACATAGTTTCCTATGCGTTCCGTCATACACATCATATGTATTAGTTAATTTACATACTGGTAAGTTAGATTTGTTGTGGGTGTATGACAGATGGTACATCTATTTATTATATGACAGTACGAGGTTGAATTACCTACAAATATCAATGTGTACTGTCAAGAGTCCCCAAAATATAATGACGCCAAAACGTACTTTCTCCCTCTTGTGTGGATTCTAGCAACACAGCATAACTTCAATGTGTCCAGGAGTGATTCGCAAATCTTGGTCCGATGTATTTATTGAACCTAGGGCCACTGTCTCGTGGGAAGTATAAATTACACAATCTGATACATAACATTAGACAGAAGTCAATCTGATTAAAATCCGATGTAGGTATGAGGCTCCAATTTTCTAAGAACTGATTAATGGCAATAAAAACCAAAAAATCGACATATTCAAACTAAAATACAAATAAATATTATATACATTTTGTAAAAGGTCATATAAACATGTGATGTAATATTTTGTGTTGTATGTCCATTATTGAAACAAAATAGAAATATTGTTTAAATAAAAAAAAATACAAATAAATATTATATACATTTTGTAAAATGTCATATAAACAAACATAAACAAT